CCAGCTCTCTTCACAGGACCTCTTGTCAGAATCGTCCCCGCTATCAGAATCCGCGTCCTTTGGAAAAACAAAATCAAAAAATGGCCCCAAAATAACCAAAATTAAAATGTAAAAAAGGAAAATCAAATCGAAGAAAAAGCAAGCAAAAAAGCTCTAACCAAATTTAAAAACAAAACCAAAAAAACAAAAAACAAAAAAAACACAAAAAACCCCCAAAAACCCCTAAATGTTGTGCAAGTCTATTAAGACGTATGCTTATTTATTATTGTAGATTATTATTAATAAAGATTTGCTTTTGCTTTTGCTTTAAGTAACATCAATCCAAATCTCCACTTTCTGGCTTAAGTAATGAAATCTGCAATCAAATTTCTTAGAAGGACTGAATTAGTGAGAAACAGTCTCTCACTGTAAGGTCCCATGAAGTTATTAACACAATGGTGTAAAATAACATCTCCACTTATCTCAAGAAAATGAAGTAAAACCTATACCCCATATATGCTAACACCCATGCAGTCACTTCCCACATTTGCCTTGGTTATTGCTGTTGCTTCTTCCAGAAACTCTTTCCCCCATGAGTGAGCACAGATGCCATACAAGATGTGACGAGCAGGCGGATTAACAAAGGTTAGTAATGCTGTAGGATGCCACGTTTTGTTTAGCTTTACTAAAAAGAGCAGCCCTAGAAAAAAGTTAGAAGATGAGAAAGTAGAAAAAGAAGCAGTCAAACAGGGATTATGTTAAAAATGCTAAGAATCCCTATTAGCAAACCATGTAAGATTCTTATCAACCAAGTTGTTTTCTTCTAGAAGACAAGAAGGTTTTGAAACTAGTCTTTCCATGAGCATATAATGGATTTGCTACTTCTTGTGTCATGTCAAATTGATTCATTTCATTTGTACAATTAAAGTTTGTTATCCAGAGAACAACAAAGCATAAAAAAGGATCTTTATAGTAGGTCTGCTATTTTGTTTTCCACACACTAAATCAATAAATACCTCACCTCCAAAACTTTAGGAAACAAATCTCCAGAACACATATTAAGCTAGGCAAATATACTTTCATTAAACATCATTCCAAATTCCCTAAATAATATTTTAATAAATATAACTTGGAGATGTGTTCTATTTAAGAAAACTCATGGTATTTCTAGCTATTTGAGGACTATTATTTTAAGTTGACAACTCTTAACTAGAGACATATAAAACACAAAAATTATATCCTGCTTATGTAAAATGGATCCAATTTAAAATGCTATCTCCAACTCTCTGACTCTCTAGATATCTTTGCACCATTAATTCTTTTACAAAAAACTTTAGTTAGGCCTAAAACAGCCTGACTTCACAACTAACTAGTTTCAACGGGCTATCTGGATAATAATCGTTAACTAACACAAGCAAATCTTGCTCACATGAGTCTAAATGAAAGCGGTGTAGGATTTAGTACTCCCTGTGATGAACAGGATTAAGTAAAAGGTTCTATTCAGGAACTATGAGTTCTTGGGAAAAGAAACTACTCACCAGAAGAGTAGTTCAAGATAGTCTAGAAAACAAAAATATTCCTACTTACTGGTCTCTTGGCTGTGATTATCAAAATTATCTCTAGCAAAGGGTTTTAAAAAAAAGAATTGAAACCGATAAATAGTATCATGCTTTCTAGACCAAAGATTTCTACGTACAGTTACTTTCTAGGGAACAAAAAAATAATCTCTAACAATAATAATAATAATTTGGCCCCTGAATTTGGAGATGCTAGTATTAATATGTATTATTTATATTGGTCTGTAAATGGATACTAAACCATTTATAATCCCTTCCTATTTGAAAATTTAGCAACAAAAAAGCAGATAAAGCTAAATTTACAGATTCTACACTATTTTTCCTTTTTTTAGTTTAAAAAATCTTAAGTGATAAAATATAATCGTAAGTGAAAAAGATGACATTAATAAATAGAGAAAAAAGTATGTCTGACTCCTAAAAAGGTTTTCTTGCAAATATGTATAAACTGAGTTTTACAGAATACAAATTCTCTCTGATTCTTCCTACATAGTTAATTACCACTTATTTTTTCCTGGTTTCTTTTCTTTTCCTTTACAGGCTGCTTAACGATGAAATGAATACTACCTAATTCAGGAAATAACAAATATTCTAATCACTGCTTTAATATACGTAAGTGACAAAAGTTATGCCTTTAAACTCTAAAACAAAAATAAATGAATTTACATAAATCCAAAAGAACTCAAATTAAATCAACTGGTCATTATTTTCTTTCTTTTTAAAATATGTTCTCCTTATAGCTCAAACATATCCCTCCATCACAGACTGACCATGATACCTGAAAACTCTGTATGCAAAGCTTATGAGCCAAGATGCTTTTCATGTCAAGAAAAAAAAAAAAGGTTTTAAGATATTTAGATTCATTTACTACAGGGTTGGAAAAACACTACTCAGATCTGGCCAAATCACATGTCACTAAATGATCCTTCTGTTTTCATTAAGTAATGAATACAAAGTGGGCCTCCTGCAGAGACTCTGCATGAAGTTTATGCATATAAAAGAGAGAAGATACTCAAAACATGTACAAAAGAGCAAACACAAAGGACCAGGTGTATCATCGAGCACTAACTCTAAGAGAATGTTCAGCAATGTAACAATGTGACACATTTGGGGAATTTTTCATAATATTTATCCATAGGATGCATTCAAACTATTTCTGTTGGTTGACAAATACAGGGTCATAAAAAACCATTTTTATTCAGTATTATTACTGAAGATAGTCTTCAGGCTAAAGTGCTAGAAATCAATTCCTCTGGAGGACAAGAAATTTGAGTGGAATAGACAGCTGGACTTATAGGAGGAAAGCAACCTCCTTGCTTTAAGGAGCTGCATTTGAAATCCTCCATTGCTTTGAGATACACAGAGCAGATGACAATCAGAACCTGATTACTTGCAGACTAAGTATGTTTCCTGGAAACTAAATATGTCTTAGAGACATTTACTTTCTCTTTATTTAATGGTCATTGTCTTCATTTCAGAGCATAGAATGATCATCAGCTCTTGGTTATGGAGAGCACCAGCCATCACTATGTTTTACACCTAGTTAGTTAATCAAAGGTTGGTCCCAGCAGCACTGGCATCACCTGGGAGCTTGTCAGAAGTACAGACTCTCAGGTCCCACCCCAGGCCTACTGAATCAGCATCAGCATTTTTACAAGACTCCTAAGCACTGCTCTACTGGAGAGAACAATGAAGTAAGTCAGAAGACCCAAGTTTACGTTTAAGCCTCAGACCCAAGACCTAACATGTATTTTAAAGTGGGCAAGACAGCATTTTTTAGACTTGGTTTCCTCAAAGGTAAACTGTAGGTAATAGTTGTCATTTTATTTACATACACACCTACCAAAGAGGGTTGTTTTGGGAATCAAAAAAAATGATGAATGTTAACCTCTCTGTAAATTATAAAGCACTATACAAATATAAGGCACTATTGTTAATAATAAATCCAGCTTAATTATACCTGTCCTCGTTTGATCTCTCACAGACCATCAGAAGCATGTTATTAGATTACACTACATTATTAAGATAAAAGGCTCCTTCGTGTGTCACAAAGCTCTCAAGCTCCTAATCACATTGCAGCTTAATCTTTCTGTTTTCATTACAAACTAAATGCCAAGCAGGCCTCCTCTTTAAGAGACTCTATCTATAACACTGTTATTATCTTGCCTCAAACATTTGATTTATTCTTGCAATCCATTCTTTTTTGGGCTTTACTATAATTTCCAAGATAACAAACTAACTGGTTTAACCCACTGCCAAGTCTGAGAACTGACCTGCCCTGGAAAAGACTGCTTTTGCACAAGTCCTTGGCTTTTCTGGCCCAGTTAGCAACAGCCTCTCTTCTCCAAAGCAGAGCACGGCTACAAGGCTATAACTCACATTCAGCATCCTATATGCTGTGTTTTATGCTCAGGGAAGAAATCCAGCTTTCTCCCTAATACCCTCTTATCTTAAAAGAAGTCCATGAATCTGAAATGAAATTTCAGAAAATGAAATTTTCTAAACTGAAATGAAAATTTGAAACGAAATGAAAATTTCCCAAACTGCATCCACAGTATCCAAAAGTTGTTATGCCTTTTTCTTACATATCAAATGAATGCCAGGAAGGTTCTTATAACCAGGGCTTTGTTAACCAAAATTGGATGACTTTAAAAATGAAAATCTAACTAATGCGTAAACTTATTTATTCATGAGTTTCTATAAAACCTAGAAATCAATTAACATCATAAAATGCTACAGCCATTAGCATTATCAACTACAACCTTAAACTGACTTTCCAGCCGCTCAGCAAACCCTTTCTCAACCCAGAGCAACACAGGCTTCCCTCTCCTGCCAGAGTTGCTTGTGCAGCCCCTACTTCCACCGTCACCCCACATGCTACGGAGACCCTTACTGAGAATTCAGACTCCATGCAGGGGAACAGAAAAGGATTAACACATGCAACTGTGCAGCAACACTTTTAGACACAGTTTAACTTAAAAAAAAAGTCTGCCCAGCACAAGAACAATCCCCAAGTCAGCCCAAGAGCAGAGAATTAGTACTATCAGGTGATCAGAAACAAAACCAAGGCAAACACACATCAAATTCAATATTCAAAGTAATTATTATTAAAAGAACCACCACTGCTGCATACTCAAAAACCATTATATCAAGAGGCAAAGACTACCAGGAAAGCTCCCACTATTTCCTCAAAACGCACTTGGTTTTGATAGAAGATATGACTTTAACACGTAAGAGGCACAAAAATAGTACCTTTAAAGACAGTTTTTCAGACTAAGGCTACCAGGAGATGTAAGTTCCTTCTCCATGAAGAAAATGAAAGAGAATAGTGTATGGTATCAATGAGAGCTGCTGGGTAAGCAATCGGCCGAGTGCTTATCTGTGGAACAGGAAAGGTGTGAGAGCAAGCTGCCTTTTCCTAACAGAGGACTCAGGGTGGGCTCCTACCAGTCTCTGTTGCTCCAAGAGAAGATCTGCTTCTTCCTTCTCCTTTTTGTATAAGATTTCCATTTCCTGTAGCCTAGAAGGAACACAAAAGCAAGAGAGGGAAGAATAAATTATGGAATCGCTGAGCTATTTCATGAATTCTACTACATTTTCAAAAGAAGTGACAGTCATGTGAGCCACATCACATCTGTACACTACCTTTTTTCCATCTCCTGTTTCATATCAATTCCTTGTTTTTCCAGAAGCTCCCTCTGGGCAAAGGTCCAGTCCACAGGCTCAGAGGGGGTCTCAGCAGAAGGAGTCTTCTCCCGCTCAGCCCGTGCTTGCTCCGGGTGGTTAAAACGAAACACATGGTTTTTACCCATGATGATGCGGTTTCCTAGCACAAAACAGAAACAGGGTTAAGAAATCATTTTTCAAATGTAGAGTATCTAAGGTTAATAACCTCACTTTCCCTAATGCAAAAAGACAGCTTTTGGAGTTTTACAAGAAAGTAAATCCTAATGCTGACTATCACTTCAACCTTTAAACAAAGAGTTAAAGATTAGAGTTGCTTGCACAAGACAAGTGTTCTGAAGACTTCAAACCTCTCCCAGTCTCACCTGAGCGCAGCTGAACAGGCTGGGCCACCCTCTTGCCATTTACATAGGTTTCTGAACGTTCACAGGGCTCCAGGGTCACAATAACTAAGACGAACACAAACTAATGTTAGCATCACAAACCACTGAAAGAAAATAATGGAAAGCCGATGATGATGAGGATTCAAGGTAACTGGAAGAGATTCCTGCAACCAGCCAAGTGGCTTAGCACCTATATAATAGTTCACTTTAGGGTACCAAAACCAGGGCTATGGCTCAGATAGAAACAGTTAAATGAATCTAACAAACCTCAGAAGAAGGAAAAAGAAGAGTCAGTTTCAGTGATATCTGACAGTTCAGTATATAAAAATGAAAACTATCAGAAATCTTAAGTATGAGATCTAGGTAATAAGTAGAAACTTAAGATCAAAAGTTAATATTTTGATTAAGGGAGGAATAAATTATAAAGCATAAAAATATTATTAGATCATTGTTTTGTTAATAACCTGGGCAAAAATCAAGATTGAGCTCTTCTTCCCTTTTAGATAAAAATAAATTCTACTGAATTAAGACTAGAGGTCCTCCAAATTTCCCACTACCCAGGATATTTGTTCCACTCTTGTCTACTAAATAGTTAACATTCAAGACCAAGCCTAATTGCCTATGCCCTGCTCAATTCTTGGCAGTAACAAAAGGGCTCCTTTGGTCCAGGCTTTTTTCATGTAAAGTAGCTATGTCCGTTCCTGCATTTATAAGCAGCCCAGGTTTCCCCATTTTCAAATATCAGATTGTACAAGAAAGTATCACTGAAAGAGATAGGGAATACCAAGTCTTGGGGATTTCTCATAATACAGAACGAAAAGGTTGTTGGAAAAGCAAAGCCAAGAACTCTCACCATCCCCACTGTTGTTTCTCTCGCTCCGGAAGATACAGTGCTCTTCTTTAATGTGAGCCCCACTCAGCACGATGTCCTGGCGCCGCTCAGCATCTGCTTGGCCAACCCTGAACACAAGAGAAAGTGTTTCCCAGGGAAATTCAGACACAAAAAGCACTGCAAACAATGAGCCTCTTTCTCCCAAAGAATATTCTTTGGTATGTACAAAAAAGGTATTGCCTTTTTTTAATCAGAGGCTTTGAACTGCAAATTCTATTTTCATATGTGATCAACCTCCCTTCATCAGAATAAGAAACGAAGGGGCAATGATACACCAAATAACTCACACAGCATTATAACAAGATACGAGTGAACTAATCTCCTGAAAGAATTCTCATAAGATGGCAGAAGGAAAAATTTTACTTAGGGTCTGGTAGGAAAAAACTATACATGTTAATTTGTTTGGCTGGTTAAAACACTTAAATAATTTGAGAAGAGTAGAGAGGAGAGTTTGTAACTATTTCAGATGGGAAAAACAGCAAATCATCACAAGAAATTTTTCAACAAACAACTTCTCTTTAGTTATTCAATCATCTAAGAGAAAAGAAAACATTAAGTGACCAAAAGAGGAAACAAATGTACCTTGTAATTCCATCTTTGATGTAATAAAGCAGGCATTCAGACATCAGTGGGTCCTCATTGAGGTTAACAAGATGTGGGGTCTGAAAATGGTTACAGATAATCAGTTTGGAGCGAACATCCCTGAGAGGGCTGTGAGAATAACAGGGACTTACAGGAGTGCTGATGGCTTCATGGAAAATTCCCCAAAGTACCTAAAAGAGGGACTTCTTTCCTTCCTAGCTGCAATTCCATAGTAAACAGAAAACACTCTCTTCAGGCCTTCCCAAACTGCATTAATGTATTCTACTTAAAAACATGAATTCTGGAGTAAAAAAACAAGATCCAACTCTTGATAAGGTCAAAGTGTGGAGAATACAAAAGAAAAATTAGGGCAGGCTAATTCCACTTCTGGACAGATTAATCATAATTTCTGTAAACACTTGGACAAAAATCTCGAAGGGCAGCAGAATCTGCCACCCTAAATATGCCACTTTGACATATTGATTATTTTGAGCTGTAGGCACCTGAAAAACAGCACATGCAAAAAGAGTCTTTCTCTAAATTCCCCTTATCGGCCTAAAGACAGGTAGTCCCAAAGAAACTCAGTTGTCATCAATCCCCTTGCAGGAGTTTCAACAAGGTTCTCTCCAGGAGAGAAAACTGGAGGCTGACACCACACCCAAACTGTCACAAATGGTCACTCTTCCCATCTACTCTTCTAAGGCCCCTTCACCTTTCCTTTTTAAAAGCAATGACTCTCCCCTGGGAGGTTGACCTCCCCCTCCCCTTTCCCTATTAAGATGGCATTTAAGCTGGAATTCTCAGCCATCTCAGGGAGTTACTCATTTTTCCCTGGGTATCTCCCATGTATACATGTTAACAAGCTTTTTTGTTTTTCTCTTGTTAATCTGTCTTCTATTACAGGGGTCTCAGCCAAGAACTCAGAAAGGTAGAGGAAAAATAACTTTTCCTCTCTCGCAACCTCAAGGAATATTTAATTTGTCATTTACTTTATAAATATTTTCCCACATCCCCTGTCATTTCCCTTTAAAATTTATCAGTTCTTCCATGGGCCCAGTTATTATTGTCTTTAGTTTGTTAGTCTTTATCTTAAAGAAGAAATTAAAATTACTGACATTCAATAATACATCTTATAAAAATCATCTTCATCTAACTCTAATAGTTCTAAAATCTTTTAAAAACCAACCTTCTTTGGTGAAAATACCCCACTGGAATCCAAAAATAAGTCACATGGTCTTGGGGTCAAAATCTACTCAAGATAGTGCCAGCAAATGTGGAAAAATGAAAGAAGAGTCAGATGAGAGGGTTAAGAAAAGGGACTGCAAAAGATGATTAAAAAGAAATTAGGAAAACCCCTACATCTTCCCAACTACCATCTATTGCTCTCTCTCTCTCTGTAGGTTAAGAACTTGCTAGTTTGAGAAAGTCAAAGCCCTATGTGGATGCGTTCTTTAAAACCTGTCATGACACTGGCCTGAGGAAAAGGTAACCTCAAGAACAGGTTCGTTTTGGTTTTTTTTTTTTTTCTCTTGCCTTAATAGTATTTTCCTCTAGCTTTGTTGAGATATGAATGACAAAATCTGTATATATTTAGGTTGTACCACATGATTTTTTTAAGGTGTACAATGAGCCAATTTTATATATATATATATATATATATGTATACACACACACACACACACACACACACTGTGGAATGACTACCACAATCAAGTTAACACATCAGAAACAGATTCTAAAACTAAATTTGGATCTGGTCAGTGGTATGTATATCCATCCCTTCCTCACTTGAAGAAGTCTAGAAAGTTAAAGCAAGATGGGTAAAGGAAGGAAAAGCTTTAAAACCAGAGATTTCAGTTTGGAATTTTGTGCTGTTTATAAAACAGTATGTATTCAAGTTATTTATGATTGGTGTTAAATGCCACAACTGTACAAGTTGTTATAAAAACTTTCCCCACGGTTCTTAACATTGAAAGATGTTATAAAATACCTTAAGATACATGCAAAGGCACAATCTAAATTCTATAAAGCTTCTATAACTGTTAAAATCTCTATAATCATAAATAATATATTTGAATAAATAATGTCTTACTGGAGGAAAAATTTTTAAACTGAAAATCACTGACCTTTGGCAATATAAACATATAAAATACTGTTATTATTGTTCCAGGTCTACAACATGTACCTAACATGTCTTTAAATCAATATTCTTTGTTGAAAATAACACATCAGAATTTATAAAAAAGAAAAGCCTAACCAAAAGAATCCTAGCAAAAACCACAGGAATATTTCTTACCATATAAAACAAAAGTACCAATTGAAAACTCCCTACCCATTCTATGCTAACAGAGAGACCATTATCAGACCCTTGCATGAAGATGTTTAAGTCTCCAATAGCCAATATGAAGTCATTTGAAGTGAAGGACCATTTACTATTAGTATGAAATACATGCTTTGTGCATCATCAAAATAACATGTTCTATTACTGTCATATAAATCAGCACAAAAAATAATCATTTCATAATAGTTTTCTAATACCTAACGATAACAAAGAGGCAATTTAGTTAAGAAAGAAAGAAAGAAAGAAAGAAAGAAAGAAAGGAAGGAAGAAAGAAAGAAAGAAAGAAAGAAAGAAAGAAAGAAAGAAAGAAAGAAAGAAAGGAAGAAAGAAAGAAAGAAAGAAAGGAAGAAAGGAAGAAAGGAAGAAAGAAAAAGAAAGGAAGAAAGGGAGAAAGAAAGAAAGCGTCTTGCTATTCTAGTTAGCTAAAAGGTATCTACTACTTAGCAACTGCGATTATGTAAGTAGGACAGTAACTACTGGAGTCATTTTTTTAAGAAAACTGAGAAGGGAGCAGAGGAGGCTAGAAGGACGAGGACAGAAATTGTTTACTCAGCACAGTGCTTGTCTATCACATAAACTGTAGAAGCAAACTGAAGTGGTATTTTTCCACACAAACCTGAACAGCTGAAATTGCTTCCAAAGCGTTATAATGCAGGGTTGCTGGCATCTGTGGGAAAATCTACATAGAAAGAGGAGCCCAGCTGAAGCAAGACATGCTAGGTTAGGCTGGGAACTTAAGAGAAAGCAACAATGAAGATGAGTAAACAGACTGAATCATGACCAAAAGTTACAGATTTACTGCCTGGGATTTTATTTTATAAACAGTAAACATTTCTGAAAGCATTTTAGAAACAAGCTGGCCTTGTACTGTATGAATGAAATCAGAAATACAGAAATGAAGCCAACACTAAAGATTTAAAAGAAAAGGAAGAGGCACCCCTGAAAGACACCAAGTGCCTCGGTGACTAAGGCAAACAAAAGTGCTTCTGTTTGGTTAAGCTTCACAACACTGTTTCCTACCTTTTTAGGTGAGAAAACCCCCAGGGTTCCTCCATCTTCCCGAATGGCAACTCCCATCTCAGCCAACAAGGCCTCTCTAGGAAAAACAGCAAGCACATCAGAATAACACCACCAAAATGTCAAATAACTCAGTCTAATATGAACTGGGAAATAAAGCACCCAAAACAAAAGCAACTGTCCATGATTAAAGTCATGGTACAAATGTGAAAGCCTCTGCTTATCCCATCATTAATGAGAAATTATTTTAAGAGAAACAGTACATTCAAAATAAATTATGTTCCTATTTTAGGTAAAGCTATATTCACCCAAATAAGCACTTTTTCACATTTGGAGGCAGACAATAATTCATAAAGAATATGTCTACTAATATAAAAAAGGAAGAAAGGAATATTCCCTTAAGATAATACAACCAATTCAAAGAACCATTTCTTAAAAATCCAAGAAAGCAATCAGAAAGTAACTCTGATATAGGGAATATTATCTATAAATTTTCTCAAATGTCATGTTCCCATGCCCACCATCAGACTGGTTCAGCAATCCTAGCTCAAAATCTCTACAATAAATAAGAAAATTCTAATTGTTTCATACATTCCTTTATACATCAGAATTCACCTCAACTTTATCTTCCATGAAGGGGGAAGATAAGAACTAATATTTTAAAAATGTATATTTAGTCTAATAGCAAAAGTATTATTTTGAGTTATGTTCATCTTTTGAATAGAAAACTGAGAGGCTAAGATAAAATACGGATTTTAAATGTTTGCAACTCAAACTACTTAATCTTACCAAACAGGTTCTATAAAAAGTAACTCTGAAATATGATAATCAGAACAGCTTTTTAAATTTAGGCCTTTATCAAAGGCAGTCATCTTGCAAATTAAAAACCCTATCCCTCAGTATCTTCCATTTTTATATGGATCCCCAGCAACATTTAGTACAGTAACTAAGAACTCAAGTCCCTAGAGAACATTTACATTATGTGAATTTCACTTCTGAGTGTGAATCTCGCCTTAAGTCCCAGCCAAGTTCTGCTTGTTTTGTTTTAGGAGGAAAGGTTCTTCGTTTTTACTATTTTGCCTTTTCTTACTATAAAAGTAGTCCAAATTCCCCAGAAAATTTAGAAACATTCCCAGAGTTTAACTTCCTGACCTCTCCATTCTGATGGCCTCTGTTTTACGAAGCTTCTCTTCCCAGGTTTCATTCAACTCAGCAATGATCTTCTCTGATTCCTAAGGAAGGAAATCCACAGTTCAAGTGGCAGACTCTTATAATTTAACATACCATGTCTAGGAAGGACAGCAAGAAGCAGGTGATGCCCTTTAAGGATATGAGGCAGAATCTATTATGATGAAATTTTTAATTTTTTTTCCTTTCTTAATACATAAAGAAATCAGCCCCAGATGTATTAATTCTTTTAAGTCCTAATAAAAATTGTGTGTGTGTGTGTGTGTGTGTGTGTGTGTGTGTGTGTGTGTGTGTAGAAAGGTAGTATTAACATTCCAAAATGCAAGGGAATATTTCTCCCAAAGGTATTCATTGCTGTTTTGTTTCATTATAATTTCACCATAACACCAACAACAGGGTTCAGAACATGCTCCCCCCAAATATGATGTTTCAGCATATTGAATATGTTAAGTTGAAGTGATTTAACAAATGGTACAAGCAGGAAGGACTCTCTGATCTCCTCCAGAAGCAAGTCATAAGACCCTCAGGAGATATAAACTCCCTACACCTGGAGGAAAGGAGTGTCCTTATTTCCAAAGATGCGGGAACACCAAGAAGAATCTGAATTAGGCCTTGATAAGTCTTCCCATTTAGTACAGGTGCACCTCGTCTTACTGTGCTTTATGTTCCTGCACTTTGCAGGTACGGTGTTTTTTACAGATAGAAAGTCCATGGCAATTCTGCATCGAGCAAGTCTATCGGTACCATTTTTACAACAGCATTAGCTCACTTCGTGTCTCCCTGTCACAATTTGGTAATTCTTGCAATATTTCAAACTTTTTCATTATTACTATATTTGTTATGGTGATCTGTGATCAATGACCTTTGATGTTAGTACTACAGCTCCCTGAAAGCTCAGATGATAGCATTTTTTTTAGTAATAAGATATTTTTTAATTAAGATACATACATTGTGTGCTACTGCACTTAACAGACTACAGGATAGTATAAACCTAGCTTTTATATGCACTGGGAAACCAAAACATCTGTGTGACTCACTTTGCTGTGACAGTCACTTAACAGTGGTGGTCTAGAACTGAACCTCCAATATGTTTGAGGTGTGCCTGTACTCTTGACTCATCCCCCTCTGTCTTATCACATATTTCCACAACTTTCCACAACTTTCCACTCTTCACCAAACTTAGCATAAAAATGCTCATATTTAACACTTCTTTGGGTCTTCATTTCCTTATGAAGTCTCTCATGTCACATTAAACTTGTATGCTTTTTCTCTGGTTAATCTCCCTTTTGTTACAGGGTCCCCAGCCAAGAACCTAGAAGGGTAGAAGGAATGATATTTTTCCTCCTCTACAACACAATATTCCCTGAACACAACCCAATATCCAATACAGAAAGGTTTAGTTTTTTTTTAAGTCTTTTTTTTTTTTTTTTTGGTGGGGAGAGGTAATTAAGTTTACTTGTTTATTTTTGGAGAATGTGCCAGGGATTGAACCCAGGACCTCATGCATGCTAAGCATGCGCTCTACTGCTTGAGCTACATCCTCCCCCAAGAAAGGTGTAGTATTAATCTCATCTGAAGGCATGCAGCTATTAGAGTGACAATTTCCCAATCTCTGGCTGAGTGTTTATTACATATGAGAAATGTAAGAACTAAAACATGTTTCCTGATTTCAAGGAGCTTACGGGAGAGAAAGACGTAACTGGTCATTTGTTCATTCAATAATTATATATAACTCCATTATATGCCAAGCCCTGTTCTAGGCAACTAGAAGTAAGTCAGGGAACAAAATTTTTACCTTTCATGAGACTTATATTCTAGTAAAGAGACCAAGAAAATCAATCAATTTTAATCAATAAGTCAAGTATATAGTATGTCAGACAGTGGTAAGAGCTTTGTAGATAAATAAAGGCAAGGAAAGAGAGAGTGTAGGGGGAAGGGTGGGGAGGGAGCAATCTGGAGTGGGGTTCTCTGGACAGGGCTCAGTGACAAGGTTCTATGTGAGTAGAGACAAAGGAAAAGCAGGAACTGCCACATGGGCATGTGAGGGAATCGGTAGGAAATGCCTGGCATTTTCCAGGAACAGGAGCAGGGCTAGAGCAGCATGTTCGAGGACTGTGAATGGGAACAGTAGGAGAAAACAACCGAACAGTGTGCTGAGTGCTAGGACTGAAGTATTCGCAGGTCCGCTGGAGTGGGGGATGAGTTGAAGCTGAGTGATACTTACCTTGAGAGTAAAGGATAGGCAGCAGGAACTGATGAGGCAAAAAATGGAGAGGGAAGGGGTACCAAACAAAAGGATAAGCATATGCAAAAAGCAGAAAATGCTAGCCGTGGAGATGAAATTAGAAAGTTAGATATGATGGTGATAACAATGATGAGATGTCAGTAGTATGATTCAGGGTTAAAAGTCTTAACAGTTCACAAAATACTTCACTGTATAATTCACTTAACAAGCTACTGTACGAAGCCTCTGGGATCCCCAAACATAACTATCTACATAGAAAGAAACTGTGAATATGTAATACAAGCCCTAAACCCTCTGGCGTTTGGTTTTCTGGAATGAAGCATGGGAGCATGTCAAAAAGCCAAGAGTAAAGACTCAAGGCAGCAGCTGCAAAAGCAAAGGAGTACAGAAGTCAGAAGAAACACAAGAGCATGTAGATGATGATGATGATGATGATGATGATGATGAAGGAAAAAAGGAAGGACAACATCCAGCTAAGCTAGGCAAAGAGCAAAACTGATAAAAGCTAGAAAAGGCCTGGCTATCAGTAAGGTGGATATAAAGGGAGCTATGTAGGAGGTACCCAGAAAAGAAATGAGTCTCTTACAAAGTAGAACAAGTCTGCAGGAAAGATCAGGAGGGTTGAGGCAAAATCATCTAAACTGGTTCTCATTAACCACCCCCGACCCCCCATTCCGGATCACAACCAGAGGCTGAAAGACAAACAGCTACCTGAAGGGTATCTCTGCACAGTCCTCTAACAGGGATGAAAAAAAGGTAGTGTATATGTCACTCCAAAGCTAAGTGAGGAAACAAGCCAGCCACACTGGAGTGCCAGCAACCAAGAAAAACCCATACAATTCTGGCAAGGAGTGAGACAGCCAGGAATGGAAGTGTACCAGGTACCAAGTTGCCAAGAGCATATATATAATGCACCACAAAAGTTGCTCAACAACAACTTGAACTAAATGTTTCTAAATGCTTCTGCAAATGACTGTAAAAGGGCAAGTATAAGACAAACTGACACAATAACCTATAAGATGGTAAGTCTTATTAAAGACAGCTGGGTGGAAATCTTTACACTCTCAAAGTGACAACTTTTCCAGGGTTCAATCCCCAGCACCTCCATTGAAAAACTAACTAAATAAATAAACATAATTACCTTCCCCTGGAAAAAAAAATCAAAGCCACAACTTCAAAAACAAAGGAACGGTGTAACAGGACGCCTAACCAACAGCACCTAGACTAGTGCCTTTTATATATGCTACAGTCCACAAGCTACTTATGCTGGTTAGGAAATACAAACTGACCCATGAGATACTTAAAATATTTTTTTTTCCTCGTTGGTTATCTTCAGAAAAAGAGTATGTCAGAGCAGAGGTTTAGCTGGCTGTGTTAAAGCTATTCTATTTTGGGACAACTGTAAACTCACCCCAAGGAAGCAAAGTTACTGTCTAGGAATCCTCTTACCATCTTCCTGCCAACTCTAATGTGAACTCTGATTTTACTTACCACCTGGAGGGTAAATCAGAGTATGATCGCCTTGTAGATAAGAGATTTAATGAGTAACTTGAGTAAGGTATTACTTTCATTTTTCATTACAGCTTCAAGTTGTAATTTTTATGTTGTCTAGAAAGCTATTTTTTTTAAAACTTTGAAGAAAGGTGAGAGAAAGTGATATTGAGTGCCATACCAGCAAAACTTTAGTGCTGAAAAAAGCCGTTTACTCTGGAAGCATTCTAGAAATAAAGAGACTGAGGACCAGAGAAACTAAGTAATTATCCTGAGGTCACACTTTTCCCTGAGTTGAGTCTAATAAAGGCACAATCAATAGGTTTTAAAGAAAATATTCTACGAAACAGCTCACTATAAATTAAGAAAGAATGAGGACTATTCTTCCTTCAGGCCTGAGTAACAAACTGAGTATAAAAAAAATAGAGATGCCAACAGGAAGACAGCTTTCAGTCTGAGTCGTCAACTTACTCTGCAGGCAGGCCTGGCATGCTGGTGTTCAGTGCTGCTCATGACTCATTCTAGAAGCCTAATTTAAGATTAAACTGAAATTGGGATTCACACTTCAAAAATGAGGAATCAAGGAGACACTTTACGGGTTCTTTCTTCCTGCAGGTACTGTACATTATAAAATTCTGAAAAAAACCGAGTGACATCAGGAACTTTTTTTAAAGCTCCAAGGAATGTTGGGCTCAGGCGTCATTCACCTTCGATCTCACACCATGTTGTGCCTAGCCAGTTGTACAGCACTTGGTTCATAATTATGTTCATATGGCTAAGCACAATTTAATTTCTTCATCATGATTCAGTTAAGGTGGCAGAGAAGTCCATAGAACAAGTCAGAAATATTTCCCTGAAAAAAAATTACAGTTTAAGTTATGATATTTAAAAAGTTATATGCTTACTACAACATGGAACATTCCTTGAAGCCATCAGATAGGTTTTACTGTACTGAACACAGCATGCTTCAGAAGTGCGTTCCAAGCACAGGGCCCTCAGGCTGCCTAGCACAGCATTTACCCTTGCGTGCTTCTGTAATGGATATCTGTGGCTATTTATAGTCTAAGCCTAAGCAATGGCACTCACAGTACTGACTTTGATGCCAGACTAAAAAACACCAGAGCCATCACGTAGCTGCTGTAGCTACATATTTAAAACCTTTTTAAGTAGGAATCCAAATCAAGGATACAACATCTCAACTTAGTTTGAGTTGCAACTACAAACTGAAAGCAACTGCCCTTCACTCTCTTTTGCCAGAGGTTTGTGGACGGCTCAGGATATTTACGATGGGGTAACGTGGGTCTCTTCCATATGGAAACAGGCTATTCAATGAATGAAGCAATAGTAATGCCTTGTGTAAGAGTATTCTACCACCTCATCATTTTCTTAAGTCAAAAATAAAGAGAAGTAAAGGGACATAAAATGTTATGAAAATGAATTAACCTCCTCTATTACTATTTTCCATGACAGTATTTTTCTCGTACAATGTCATGTCTTAGGAATGCCACTCCTTAATACTCAACAATCAACAGTCCAAAAATGAGAAATTCTCAAGCATTACTACAGTACGACCACTGCCTTGTCCTGTGAACACAAGATGTTACCTGCCTGCAGCATTAAAATGGAGGTCTGCCAGAACCGAATTCCTACCACTCACAAAACAGGAGCAGAATTAAGGTGCTTATGCTTCAGTAAACCACCATGCTGCATTACAAACCCAAGATTAAATGAAAAACCGTAAAGAAGCAATTTTCTAAAGCTAGGTAAAATGGAAGATGTCATTTATGTTGGCTTAAAGGGGAATTAAAACAGAAACTTATTTCCTGATTAAAGTACTACAGTTCCACTGAGCAGCCAGGCCAGGGAAGGCTTTCTGGAGTGACGGCAGTGTTACTCCCGAGAGACTGTCTGGAAGATACTGGGCGACCTAATGCTTAAAGAGTCTGCTCAACATCTTGACTCAATATTCAACATTATTTTCATCTGGTTCTCCTTGGCAGTTGGGAAGAATTTTTTTCCCTACATCAAGATGCGTGTTAAAGGAAAGTGTAATCTCATTTGGACACGAAGGTAAGATTCAAAGAGTAAGATTCAAAAATCCCCAAAGAAAAATAACACTTATATTAAATAGGAAATGGAAGATTTCACTTGTCCTTTCCACAGAACCCCCGCATGTCCCCACTGGCCTGAACAGAACCACTCTGTCACTGTTGCCTATCATGACAAAATACAGAAATAAAAGCCTTTTTGCATAGGGCTTCGCTAACATCTTCAATAAAATTTAAAAGTCAATTTTACAACAGTAAGAAATTATCCTTCACTCTGCAACATTTAATGAAAACATTTCCCCCTCCCTCTCTCTTCGCCAGGTATTTTTGAACTTCACTTACTTTCCACTAACATGTTCTGAAGGAAGAAAGACAATCATTACTTTTGCTTCCAAAGCGTATTATGGTAGAAGTGAGTAAAATGCCGAGGGAAAAGGTAGGCTGGCTAAGAAGCAAAAGCTTGAAATAACCTAAATGTCCATCGACAGATTACTGGATAAAGAAGTTGTGGTACATTTATACAATGGAATACTACTCGGCCATAAAAAATGACAAAATAATGCCATTTGTAGCAACATGGATGGCCCTGGAGAATGTATTTCTAAGTGAAGTAAGCCAGAAAGAGAAAGAAAAATGCCAAATGATATCACTCATATGTGGAATCTAAAAAAAAAAAAGACAAATGAACTTACATATAAAACAAACAAACTCACAGATATAGAATACAGACTTGCGGTTGCCAGGGGTGAGGGGGGTGGGAAGGGATAAACTCGGAATTTGAGATTTGCAGATACTGACTGGTACACATAAAATAGATAAACAAGCTTATATTTACACAAAATGTTATGATAAATCACAGAGAAAAAAATGTGACAATGAGTGTGTATATGCCCATGAATGACTGAAAAATTGTGCTGAACACTGGAATTTGACACAACACTGTAAAATGATTATGAATCAATAAAAAATGTAAAAAAAAAAACAAGCTTATATTGTGTAACACAGGGAAACATATTCAGTATCTTGTAGTAGCTTATGGTGAAAAAGAATATGAAAGTGAATATACATATATTCATGTATGACAGAAGAATTGTGCTGTACACCAGAAATTGACACAACACTGTAAACTGACTATACCTCAATAAAAAATATATTAAAAAAAAGAAGAAAAAGGAAAGAAGCAAAAGCTCATTCTTCATACAAAATCTTTTTCAGCCTCACCTGCAAACCCAAATGAGAACGTCTACCACCTCCAATTATCAAGCTTAAGTCCCTTTTAGTGATGCATAAACCTTTTCAAATTTAATTTGTCAAAGTGTGTCACTGTTCTCAACAGTCCTGTGGTGGAAGATGCTAAGTACAACATGAAGGCGGCTGCACACTGTGGCAGGGCTGCAACTTCCCAGCTCCTTAAGTTTTTCTGTCCTCCTTGTTTTTCCTACCCTGGTACTCTTTTCTTTCTTTCTTTCTTTTCTTTTTTGGGGGGAGATAATAAAGTTTATTTATTATTTATTTGTTGATGGCAGTGCTGGGGATTAAGCCAAGGACCTCATGCATGCTAGGCGTGCATCCTGCCACTAAGCTATACCCTCCCCCTCTACCCTGGTACTTCTGAATACAAAGGCCACAAGGTACAGATGAAACTAGCATTTTGGAGGTGACAAGCAGGGAAAGAAAAGGCATTTGTGATGTTGTCAGTGATTTGATGGATGGCACCACAGGTGACAACTGTCTGCTCTCATTGCATTCACCCACAGGAAGAGAGAACCTACGAGTCAGAAGGCCTTGCTTCTCCTAACTTTCACATTCATGGAGAGAGACAAGAAAGTACATGACAGAGCCAGCAATAAGCTGGGAAAGCCACGCTGGGTGCCATGGCAGGTTACCTGCACATCTCTCCTTCACATCTCTGCCTGGCCATGTCAGACTCCAGCATTATGGTGAAAAGAAATTAATCATCTACAAAGCAGCAAATTTCATTTTCAGGACACCTTTGAGTTAGAAAGTTCTTCCATATGGTGAACCAAAATCTCGGTGATTTTTAGTCCTAATTCTGCCATGTGGAGCTATGTATAGTATTTCTCATTGAGTCTAAATTACTTCTTACCTTTAGGCGTTCAATGGCTTCCTCTCCTCCGGGTGTAGACATGATTCTCTCCTGAATACTGGTCACAGATGTTAAGCCCACTTGACTATTGAGTGAGCAGGAAGATGGAGATGAAGTAAGGGACCCCATGGATGCTGTGGAAAAATTGCCAGGACGTTGATTCTCAGAGGCTAGCAAGTACCTATGCTTATTGTTCTGAAAATCTTTCAGATCTGGGAGATAGAAAGAAGGGAAGGCAGAAAAAGTGGAAAAAAGGGAAAGGAGCAGAAGAAAAAAGACAGGAAGGAACACCAGTATAAGAAAGAATAGCATTAAAGCGCCAAGACAAAGACAAGTTATGATAAAAGACAAGTTATAATTGTTCTAGATGGCAGTTCTAAAACATGTCTGTCTTTAATAAAGGTATGACAGAGGTTAAGAACCACTTCTGAATTTCCAAACTAAAAAGTTCCAGAGTGGGTTAACACTGTGCCTGGTAGGGAGTCATCAGAGCCTCAAAGGATATTGCCTAGGAACTGTCCCTCAACGACCATGCTACATTCCTTCTATTCCTTCTGTGGCTCCAAATCTACAATGTCTTAGGTTTACACTACTCTTAAATCCCAATAGTTTGCAACAGTAAGGGAAAAAAGATGATAATTTATTTATCAATATCAATACATATCAGCCTGGCCCAATATTTTAAGGCATTCAGCAGAACTTTCCCAAGAAAATGTTACATTAAAACAAATATGTGAGCTCTTAGTAGTGTTTTCTGTATGCTTAAGAGGATTTTTTAAATATGTCTTCTAAAAAAAGGAGAGGCAATGTAGAAACTACAGGAATTTTGTCTAAGTCCTAGTTGAGAACTCAGGGCTGATTACCTCAATAGGGAAGAACAACTAGCAAATTACTGAATTTGGTGTAGCTCACATACGTCTATTAGAGCAAACAAAAATTAAGGCTGATTATTTGCTAATTTAAGTAAGGCTCTTACTTTAATAGCATGACCATGAGTCACTGGTAAGCTGAGTTTCTACATGGAATGCAAGTTTTAGAAACATACCTTCATTTACTAAGGTCATCAATAGAGTTTTAAGCTTTGCTTCTAAACTTAGTTTTGGTAAAAAGAGCCACAAACAACAAATTCACTAATTTTCTTTCTCTGATTAGTCATCCTTCTCAAACAGGCACCAGAGGAAATCCACAGGTATTCCTATTTTTAAATTAGCTCATTTTTAAATGTAAGGAAATCTACATTGCTTAAAATTCATATTTAAACTAAGTAAGTTTTCCTTAAAGGATGTAATGTGAGTCAACACAGACAGTCAGAAAAACATTATTAGCATTCTCTGGGTCTACCCATCTGAACTTAATCAAAGCCAGTTCTTGAAGCCAGTTAAAACCAGTGGTTGCTTCAAGACAGTTTGAAAACCACCATCTGCAAATATAGAACAACAGGAAAACAAGCAAGTTTTAAAAGGGGATAGGAACTGGAACAAAAAATTAGCCATCTGGTGATGGCAGCCAGGTGGGAAAGAATGAGATGGATGGAGTTTAGGAGGTCCAACTGACACATGCAAGCCCTGAAAGGAATTAAGAGCAGTGATCAAAACAGAAACTTAGAAATAATCAGGGCCGCTTTCCTGCATGGATTAAGAATTAAACTTAGTCATGCATAGCTTTTTGGGAGATGCCACAACTGCTTAGAAAAGAGTGCGGCAACAAGCTGGCAGCAGCACCACCTGGAGCACAAAAGCAAGAACAAGAGGGTATCTTTCCCACACCAGTATCAGTCAACTTTGGAAATCTCAGACAGAGCTGTTCCAGTCCAAAGTCACTCTGCATTCAGACATTATAGTGTCTTCAAGGCCTAACCTCATCACAGCAGCCAGGGCTACATTTGGTTTCTCATATGTATTTCTCCTCACTGTCTGCCAAGCCTTATTACATGCCCTACTATAGAAATAAACAAACAAACAAAAAAAAGAGTAAAAATCTAAAACTTAACTCACAAAATCAAGATTCTTCTTTCATTCTAAGATAATAATTCTTTGATGAATTATCTTAAAAGGGTAAGAAGTTATTTTCTCACCAACATAATGATACATATGGAGAGACTAATGAGGTGTGATCCTTTATAAAATGGCCTCATTTCAAGTACACATTTTAGATACCCAAGTTTTAAAAATTTAATCTGTAATTCATGAAAAAGAAAAAAGAAGTTTACCTAACCATCAAGTAAGCCGAGGCCCAAGATATGGAAGAAATCGCCTCAGTACAAGCACAGGTGAGTCCAACATTCACAGAGCTACTCAATCATAAAGAGTTTGGCCAACCAGAAGTGACTGCTTTTAATTACACATACACTAAGGCTCAGAATTACATAGCTAATTAAAAAGAATTTTTCTATTAAATAATCAGACCCTGAAGGATCAAGAGGCCAAAAAAGGTGTAATAACAATTAAAATCTAAGGCTCTGAATTACACTACCCAGTCTGACCACACAGAAACCATGGGATCTCACTTGGTAAACTAACCACTCCAGGCAGCAGTGTCCTCACTGGTAAAATGGGCAAAATGGAACTTTTTCAGAGTCATCGATAGGATTAAATTGATAATATCGTCCTGACGCCCAGAACAGGTCCTAGCACATTACAGACACTCAGTGTGAGCTACTGTCATCACTTATCATCACCATCCCTGACTCTGGATTTAATTCAGTCACATATGTGGGAAAACTGAACAGCAGAAGCAGCAAGAGGTTTTTAAGTCTCTCAACTTTATCCAGGCCACAAACTGAAATTCAGCAAAGACTGCTTTGCTAATGGAAAGGGCAAAAACAGGATCATTTCTGAATCTACAGTGTGCTCTGTCTGGGATTTCCCTGTTAGCATTGCTGGCATGCAAAGCTCTTTAAGGCTGATCCAGCAGAGGCAGATTAGCAAGTCAGAGTACTGGAAATAACCAATACATGAAATACACACATTTGCCTCCACTTCCAGAGTAATCATCGATCAATGGATCAACTGAAGGTAAGCAAGAGGGAAAATACAAGAAGGGTCAAAGTTCAGGTTCAGCAGTGACACAAAGAGGGAACAGAGCAGTATTTAGTATTTGGGAAGATGAAAAAATTAACATTTAGAATAACACATTATCATTTTACAAACTGTACCCATTCATTTTAACTCCGGTGCTAATCAGTAAGAACTAAACTAGAAGAGGTCTTGAAACTCTTATTAGGATTCCAAACAAAGTAATATTAATCTTACACTCAAAAAATAAAAATATGCTTTATTAAATAAACCCATATACTGTTCTACCTGAATAATGTAGTTAGCTCACTTAGGAGAACCTCTGACTAGATATTATGTAGGCAGATCCCTTAAGTTAAAAAAGAGTCATCTTATGAAAACATTGTAAGACTCTCTGGAAGTCTAATTCTTGAACTTGATAAGAACTGGTTATTTTCTCTTTCATAAGTTTATAAGGAATGGGTTGGGGGGGCATTCAACCATTTTGTAGGAGGGCAATTATTCAAAGGTAAATCTTATCTGAAAGGAGACTGTAATGGTGGGTTTCTTACATATATATCACTACTATACTAATCCAGAGAAATCTATAACACAAAAATTAAAATTTCATGTAACGATTATATGAAGTGATTAATTTCTCAGCAAAAATAAACCTAACATTCCAAATAAACTTCACTGCTGATCTAAAACTGAAGCCTAATAAAAACACAAGTAGTGATGTATTATGTTTTAAAAACTAATTTCATGAATTCAAATGGATTATGTAGTACACAGCACATACAGGAATTCTGAGATCATTTTCATTGGGCTATTTAAGAAGTTAGGAAAAAACAAAACCCAAAAAACTCTTTCTCTACCACCTAGTTTCATCAAGTTCCTTAAATCTAAGTTTAAGTGTAAGAACCCTGGAGAGGAAAGTGGATTTTGTGTTGACCCTCAGTTCACTTACTATCAATAATGTCTCCCAGCCCCTGAGCACGAAGAAGGTCCTTCAGTCGTGTCACCTCCTCCTTTAATTCACGAACCAGTTTGGCATTGGGGTCCTCATTGATAACAGCATTGCATTTAATCTGTTTTGCACGATCTGCATATCTAGATCCAAAAAGAAAACACATTTTTACCATTCCTCAAATGCTCTACTTCTCATAAGTAACATACCATTATTTCTAAATCAAACAGTTTGAGTATTTACATATTTTATGAGCCTTAGTAATAACACATTTGCAGAAAGCTTTACAGTACCTTATAAAGATGAGGAAAAAGGTGCCAATGAATTTAAGTGATTTACTCAAGATCATAAAGGAAATAAATAGCAGAGAGGACTCTATAACTAATCTATTAGACTATACAGTGTTTATTTCATTATATCAAAAATATTTTTAATGGGAGAAGAGTTGAAAGTTCCAGATTAAAGTAACAGAATCCATTCGTACACAGAATTATCCTATTAGTAAACATACTGTCAGTAATTTTTTAAAATATTACATATACTCATAACTGCATTGCTTTTTATGATGTGAGCATTCTATAATGACAAACACGAGGACAGTTCTTTTTATAGAAATGAATACTGTAAGAAATTTTTATTATCTAGAAGTTATCCAAAAAATTTAAGATCTTTCCTATGAAAAAGTTCCTGCCTTCCTCAATGAAACTGAAAACTGTAAACAGGTAAATTTTATTATAATAAAAATCATTTTTCCCCATGTTTTCTCTGTTATGAGAGGGATGGCTCATTATTTACTTAAGCAACTACCCACACAGGATGAAAAAAAAAAAAAACCATGGCATAACAAGATGACTTATGGTGGCACTGTGTTCTGTTCAGCTGCTGAGATCAAACTGGAGTACCTCAAAGTGCTCAAGGTTTCATCATAGTTGATATCTGCAGGGCTCAGAGCAGCAACCATTGCAGTCCGAGAATTGCCACCTAAAAAGATGAATTATGATTACCTCAAATTATACTCATTTTACAAAGAATTTTACTGAATGTGTCAAATCAGACAGCACAATCTCAGCTGTAAGATTTAATCTACAGATTTTTTTGAATGTCCCCATGCCAGGCACTGTAATCCACAAATCTTGGTGTCTGGATGTACCGTGTCCAGTTTCCCTCTTCGCACTAAATCAAGATCTCAGACACTCCACCAAAGCCACTCCTAGTGATGTGAAAGTCACTGGTGACATGGACAGTCCAACAGGCCATTCTCTGCCACTTCCTTCTATCAAAAATATCTGATGCAGCTTATCACTCCCTCTTTCCTGAAGAAAAGGAGGGAAAAGTGCTAAAGGAACAATGAATGGAGGGCAGTGACCTGAAGATCCAAAAACAGCAAAGAGGAGTAAGGGCTAGTCATGTCTAATTATGTGCACATCAGAGCAGCATGGGATTTTCAAAAAGGAAGAAGGAACAGAAGTTTGAAGCAGGTGTGTGGTCAGATAAACAACTACTTCAGAGTTCATGTCCTGAAGTCAATGAGATATAGGAGTAAAATCCTGATTTAAAGGTGAACAAATCCAGGGAAGTAGCCAAGATGGCAGAGTAGGAAGACCCTGAGCTCACCTCCTCCCCAAGGCACACCAGCTATTTACAGGGCAATTACTGATAAACAAAAAAACGGAAAGACTAGCAAAAAGATCTTCTACAACTAAAGTATCAAAAAGGAATCACAATGAGATAGGCAGAAGGGTGGAGATGTGTATAGTCAAGACTCATAGCCCTGGATGGGCAACCCACAAACAGGAGGATAATCACAACTGCAAAAGTTCTCCCCAAAGAGTGAGGAGTCTGAGCCCGACATGAGACTCCTACACCAGAAGACGAGCCCCCAGAATGTTTGGCTTTGAAGCCCAGCAGGGCTTACATCCGGGAGAGCCAGAGGGCTGTGGGAAACAGACTCCACCCTTACAAGGTGCACACAAAATCTCACACACTCTGGGAGCCAGGGCAGAAGCACTGATCTGAAAGGAGCCTGGGTAAAACCCACATGCTGATCTTGGAAGGACAAGAGGTAGGAGCACACCCCGGGGCACATAGATACTGGCAGCAGCCACTTTTGGGAGCTCATTCTATCACAATGACTCTGGTGCTGGCAAGCTCCATTTTGGAATCCTCCCTCCAGCTTACTAGCACTGGGACTGGCCCTGGCCACCAGCAGGTCTGCTGCTTTAAGACCTCCAGAACCCACAGCCACTCTGGGACGCAGCCATGTCTACCAGAAGGCCCAGGACCCGGCCTCACACACAAGTGTGCTGGCACTAGTCCCAAGGACCCCTAGGGCCCTGCAGCCAGAGACCCTTGGACCTGGCTTCACTAACTAGCGAATAGGTACTAGCCCTGGGACGCCCTGGGCTCTGGTCCCATCTACCAGCAGGCCGATACCAGCTCTGAGACACCCTGAACCCCTCAGCCAACTACTCCAGAATCCAGCCCCACTCACCAGTGTAACAACACCAGCTTTGGGACACTCCAGACTCTGCAGCCAGCCCTGTCAGGAACTGGCCCTGCCCACCAGCAGACCGATAATAGATCTAGGACCCCCAGCCACACAGTCACCAACTCCAGAACTCAGCCCCACTCACCAATGGTCAGCAGCCTCCATACAAGGCAGGACCTAGAAGCCAGCCAGACTGAGGGTGAGCCACACCTACCAGACTGCTCACAGTAGTCAGCCCGCCACAACAGAAAGACCCACACAGCCCAAATAGCATACAGCCCTGGTAACCAGAGAGAAGTACACTGCTGGGATGCACAGGACATCTCCTACAAAAGGACACTTCACCAAAGTCAAGACACATAACCAACCTACCAGATATGTAGAAAGAAAAACAGCAGATTAGGCAAAATGAGGCAACAGAGAAATATGTTCAAAATGAAGAACTAGAAGTAGAAATAGGCAATCTACCCAACAGAGTTCAAAGTAATGATTATAAAGATGTTCAGAGAACTCAGGAAAAGATGAATGAACAGAGTGAGAAGTTAGAAATTTTTAACAAGAGTTACAAGATATAAAGAACCAGAAAGACATGAAGACTGCAACAGCTGAAATGAAAAATACACTAGAAGGAATCAACAGCAGATTATATGAAACAGAAGAATGAATCAGTGAGCTAGAAGATGGAGCAGTGAAAACTACTTAAGAAGAACAGAAAAAGAAAAAGAAATGAGGACAGTTCAAGAGACCTCTTGTACAACATCAAGTGTACTAATGTGACCATTGTAGGTGTCCACAAGGAATAGGGGGAGAGAACATACTTGAATGTATCACAGCTAAAAACTTCCTTAACCTGTAATATGAAACAGACATCCAGGTCCAAGAAGCAGAGAGAGTCCCAAACAGGGACCAACCCAAAGAGGACCACACCAAGACACATCGTAATTAAATGGTAAAAATTAAAAGATAAAGAGAGAATATTAAAAGCAGTAAGGGAAAAGCAGTAGGTTACCACAAGGGAATTCCCATGAGGCTATCAGTGGACTTTTCAGCAGAAACTCTCCAGAAGGGAGTGGCACAATATATTTAAAAAGATGAAATATACAACCAAGAACACTCTACCTGGCGAGACTTTCATTCAGATGTGATGGAGAAATCAAAAGCTTTACAGATAAGCAAAAGTTAAAAGAGTTCAGGTACCACCGAAGCAGCTTTACAAGAAATGTTAAAAAGGACCTATCTAAGTAAAAAAGAAAAGGCCACAACTAAAAACATGAGAACTACAAAAGGAAAAATCCCATTGGTAAAGGCATACATACAGTAAAGATAGTAAATTAGTCATGTATAAAGCGATCAGGAAGGCTAACAGTCAAAAGGAGTAAAATCATCTATATCTTCAATAAGTAGTTAAGGGATACACAAAACAAAAGTTGCAAAATATGATGTCAAAGACATTAAATGTGAGCAGAGGGGAGCAAAAAGGCCAGGTTGTTAAAATGCATTTGAACTTAAGAGATCAGTAACTTAAAATAATTCATGTATACAGCCTGAAATGTACAGTGTGGGAAATATAGTGAATAACTACATAATATCTTTGTATGGTAACATGTCATAACTAGGCTTATTGTGGTGATCAGTTTGAAATGTATAGAAATATCAAATCACTATGTTGCATAACAAACACTAACAGTGTTGTAGGTCAACTATATTTCAGCAACAAACCAAACAAACTCATAGAAAAAGAGATCAGATTCATGGTTACCAGAGAGAGGCAGGGATAGGGCAGAGAGGGGATTAGATAAGGTGGCACAAACTTCCAATTATAAGATAAGTACTAGGGATGTAATGTACAACATGATACATATAATCAACACTGCAGTATGCTATATATGAAAATTAAGAAAATAAATCCTGAGTTCTCATCACAAGAAAAAATTTTTTTCTATTTCTTAATTTTTTATCTATATAAGACGATAAATGTTCACTAAACTTACTGTGATAATCATTTCATGGTGTATGTAGGTCAAATCATTATGTTGTACACCTTAAACTTATGCAATGCTGTATGTCAACATCTCAATAAAATCAGTAGGAAAAATAAATAAATAAAATAAAATAAAGGTGAGCAAATCCAACCAGCTTAAATTAAGAGTAAGAATTAAAAAAAGGTAAAGAGCATTCAAGTTAGTAATATGGGTATTTAGAGATTATTTTTCTCCAAAACAGACATACAGGACAGTTAACCACAAAAGATAATCAGTAAACAGCTTTAAAAAGATGATTACACACCAGTGATCAACATACCTAGATTTTCTCGAAGAAGCCATGTCAGTACAGAATCTCTGTAAGGAATAAAATCAGTTTTCTTCTTCTTCTTACTCTATTAAACAGAAAGAAATGGCTTTAGCTTCTCTCAACATTGTTAGAAAGGCAAACCAGTCTAAAATTCCCAAGTAAATTAAATTACAGTAGGACCCTATCACTGTTGAAGTTAAACCCTCACAGCTTCAGTTCTACCCAAAGCTCATCTAATAATTTTTTTCTTTTTATATTTTGTTTAAAAAAATTTTTATCACAAACACAGCAGTTTACAGAGTAGTATAATGAGCTACCACATGTCCATCATGCAGCTCCAACCATTATCAATATTTTGCCAATCATGTTTCTTTAATTTTCTCTCATTTTTCTACACTTTTTTTTCCAGAACCATTTTGGAGGAAACTGCAGACCCCGTGCCCTTTGATCCCTAGATACTTCAGGCAAATAAGGATATTCTCTTAAGTAGCCACAGTTCGATGATCAAATTCAGAGAATTAAACACCAATACTATTAATCTAATATCCTGTCTTTTACGGTTTGTGTAGTGCTCTAAAGCAAATCCAGCATTTCACCTAAAAATAGTTCAGATACATATCTCTAATACAGAAAGAGTTCATACAAAAAACAAATAAATATAAGACTATAATCACACTTAACAAAATTAACAATAATTCCTTGATGTCATCTAATACCCAATCCTCAACTAATAATCTTTACTTTTGCAGAAGGGTAAACATGAATCCTGTACATTCCAGGTTGGATGCATAGGGGAAAGTCATTTAGTTAATGAATTTACTTGGCCAACCACCAAATCATCAAGTGGGTTACTGCAGATCTAGTAACTCTTGTATAGTAATACACATTTGATTCCTTTGAAAAGGAATTATATACAAAATAAATCCAACCATTAGAATTAGGACTCAAAGTGAAAAGGTCTAAGAAAGTGATATAATTTGATAATCTGGAAGTTTGTAGACTGCAAGATAAAGTTTTCATATTTATCAAGAGTTTACTTGTACTGCTCTCTCCATGGCCCATCTCATTATTACAGGATAAAGCAAAAAGCATCAACACAAAGCCAATGCTGAAACAGAGAAAACTGTATCCTCTGAAAGTAAAAGCCAGTGCAAATGCTTTGCATATAATAGCTACTCCAGTATTTGCTGGCTGACTACTATGCCTTAATCATTTAAGAAGCTACTAAGGGGGAAGCCAGGGTTCACTGATAAACATCTTCCCAGTAATAGGCAGCTTTATAATTCATTTCTGGTATAATCTGAGGTTAAATTAAATTAATAATGATCTACTTCTTGCTAACGCATGAGTTTTCAGGAAAAGAGTACTAAGTAGCTGATCTCTGGTTTGTTGAGGAGGAAAGGAGGTAGGCAAGTTGGCATTTGAATTCCATCTCATCAAAAATGTCCCCTACATCTCATCCCACTCCATTCCCAGACACAAGCTGCATCAATTAGAAAGTCATTTCCCATAGCAGATTCTATTTCTAAATTACACAGACATTTAGGGAGAATTAACCCTCTTGGTCATTCACAGCTAAGTGGAACTTTCATTCCACTATAAAATTCTTGAGGTCTGAAACCTCAGTTTGTCTTTTTCCAGTTCCCCACTGCGCCTAGACACTCCACTTTGCCTATGGTTAGTACTGAAAATCCTAGAAGATTTAAAGTACGCCAGTTACAATAACTGCCAACAGTACTGTTAAAATAAGCAGTGTCAGTTTCCAAAATGTTCTATTTTCACATCTATTGATTGGGACTAAATTAAGAAGGAGTAGCTAAATGAAGAAGCATAAACAGAACTTTAATTTTTTCCTTTTGAAAAGCCCCAGAATTTTAGCCATTTCTTCTCTATTTGCTCTCATACAAATTAATCTCATCTGTTCTCACATCCATAACTTCCTTAAATAAGTATTTCAGTAGTTAAATAAAAAGCTTTACTTAGATCATTAACCTCTCTAAAAAGAAATACTATTAAGTATGGATGATAATAATCCCATTTCTCCCCCCAGTGGAAATAACAATACATCGTACTTCACCAGAACTTTTTTTTATTACATAAAAACTAAAATTTATTTTTGATCTGTTATAGTTTATGGCACAAAGTACTAAACTGGATTTTACAAAACTGATTATAAAAAATCATTTGCAAAATTTTGTGGCACAGAGTAATGTGGGAAAATACACAGATACTTTGTAAACTTTTCCTTTGGTTAATATGGGTCTCAACAGATGAGCAAATGGACAGGACAAGTTAGAATAATTACTAAATTTTAAGTCTTCATAGCTCTGGAACCCAGATTAGATATTTGAAGAATATCCACAAATGTATAATATCAAATAGCAGATAGATGTCTTAATCTAAGGTAGCTTCTTCCAAAGAACAGAACAAAAACAAACAAAAAACAGAAAAAGAGCATTATATTTTATTAATATTTTTGTCGAACCAGAGAATAAACAAATCTATATATTTAAAAATATCTCAGTGCAGATACTGCCTCTATCCCCAATGTTACTCTTGTGATTCACAACCATTAATTGCCTTATTTACGCAAAAGATTAGTAACAAATTTTAGAATACCCGTGTAGAAATATAAGGAAAAAAATCTACTGTATCTGGATTAACAAGGATGCAAATAATGTTTCTGAGATGCAGCTAGAAAGTTAACTTGATTCTAGAGCCTTCACTATGTATAACCAAAGAGTAGAAAAAATTTCAATGATTTAAATAATCCATAATTTTCATGGTAGGAAACAAGATAATACAAAGAGATTTAAGAAAAATACACCAATAATTTCAAAAAGTCAGCTATGTTTTAGAATGGTTCCCAAGAGAAACTTTTTTGATTGCTCTCTAAGAGGTTTACAGGAGACTTCTTCAAGTGACAATCCTATAGATCACTAGGAGAAGCATCATAAGATAAAACAATGTAGAGCTTCCTCAAATTCTTCTCCTGTTTCCTTATTCTGAATTCATTCTCCAAAGCACATCATATTCCCTAAATTAATTTTGGTGTGAAGTCTCATGTTTCATGGTCACCCTGAACAGCAATTCTAAATTCCAGAGCTAGGAAACAAATAATAAAAAGTTTTTTGAAGGTTCCATTCCTATATATGCCTCCATTCATCCTGCTGAGGATTTAAGATCATCACAACTGATTTCATATCTAGTTCATTTCCACCAAACCCCACCATACCTTGCTGGTGCAGTTATCCTACAGATGAAAGCATTTAAAAGAGAATGAGAACACAGGATAAGCCTCCAAACAGAAAATATTTTGTTTAAATTTTAAGCCATAAATTGAATATGACTTCTCAGAGAAAGCAAAAAAGCATTTAATTCTTTTTAGGGATTCAAATGAGGTAAAATAAACCAAATTAGGGCACACATTAATAACTAGTATTTCCTTAGCTTCTAACCTAAGTAATGAAGTCCCTTATACAAAAATTGTTTCAGCTTTAGTGTTCCACTGCTAAGGAATAAGAAAAAATAAAACTATTTCAAAAAATATATTATTGGCCTACAAATCAACAGCATTCACCAAGTCAGATTGCTCAAAATGCTCCAAAAAGTACAGTATCCTATTTAGAAAAGATCACATAGAAAAGAATATGCAATAAATATACTTGGTTTTTATCAGAGATACAGAATAAGGCTCCAGTAGTCAAATCTTAGGTCTCTGCAAAGGCCTTGTTTGTTTGTTGGGGTGGGGAGGAAGGTTTATTCATTTATTTATTTATTTTAAAGTTTTTAAAAAATTTTTTGAGCAGGGTAATTTGGTTTGTTTGTTTTAAAATGGAGATCCTGGAGGACTGAACCCAAGACCTCGTGAATGCTAAGCATGCACACTACCACTGAGCTATACCCTCCCGTAGATCTTGTTTTAATTATAGTGTCTACAGATCTACATTTACGTTCATTCATCCTAATCATTTTTATTTTCAGTATAAAATCAAAGTGTGTTATACCTAGTATCTTATCTGAAAAGTTCTAAAAGGAGAAAGGCAGGATAATACAAAGGACCAAAAAAGGACAGTCTTCATAAACAATCATAAAATACTGTCAAGTACATTTGCTAAACAGATATATTTTCCCTTACAATGAAGTATAGTACTTACCACCTCCGCCAAGGCTGAAATAACTTTACCCAGAGTTGTAAGAGACTTATTAATATTTGCTCCTTCCTGAAATCAATACCAAACATTAAGAATTATGATAAAGAAATTCTATTACTGCCACATCATATATAATACATAAGATGTAATTAGCATTGTTTGTTTATTTATGACTACAAGTTCTAAAAACCTCCTTTAATCCTCAACCTTTACTCCCCCTCCATTTGCTGACATGCCAGGACCAAATGCCTAACTCACAGTCCTGAAGTCTCTTTAAGATGTTGGTGCTCCAAAAACTTACAGACGCAGCCTTCTTCCACAACTCACTGACGTGAAACTTCTACTCTTGTTAAGCATATCTCTAGAGAAGTCCATGCTTGTTCTCACATCTGGATCTTGTGCATACTTTTCCCATTACTGTCCCTTGCTTCCATCTAGCCAAATTCTGACCGTTCCTCAAAATACAATTCAATTTTCACCTTGACCATGAAATCTTTCTTACCTATTGTTATCTAACATATCTTTTCATTGAAATTACAGATCAGAAGTCAGCAAAGTTTTTCTGTAAAATGTTTTGTGGGCTTTGTGGTGTCTGCTGCAACTTCTCAACTCTGCTTCTGTAGCATGAAAGCAGCCACGAACAATACACAAACAGATATTGCTGTGTTCCAACAAAATTTTATTTACAAAAAACAGACAGTGGGCCAGATTTGGCCTACTGGCTATAGTTTGCTGACCTGGGTTATAGAACATTTACTGACTACACTATTTATTTGGCAAAATATACCTTTAATCGAGTTCCTTTGGCACCAGTCGAATCAGCTCGTTCACTTCCTGCTAGATCCACCAAGCTGATTTTACTGACCTGTAAAAAGCAATAACATTGGGGCAATTAAGAAATAAGCAAAGTAGAAGCAGAAAACATTGAGAGGCAGGAAATTAAAAGATCGAGGCACAGAGAAAAGTAGAAGTATTAATTAGCCCTCTTTTTTGTGGCATAAGACAAACATACTGTAGAAAATTTAAACAGCATGCAAAACAGTACACAGCAATTATCTTGGTTTAAAAGAAGTAATTTTAGGATAAACATATTTTACAATGATACTTCCTAAAATATATAAAACTCATTAACCCATTAAGTGGCATATTAAAAATGAAGCTTCTAGCAACTGGAACTCTCACACATTGCTGATGGAAATGTAAAATGATACAACCACTTCTGAAAGCGGTTTGACAGACTCTTAAGAAGCTAAATCTACACTCAGCGTAAGATTCAACCAACCTACTCCTAGGTATTTACCTAGAGAAACAAAAACAAATAGCCATACAAAAACCTGTATACAAATGTTCATGGAGCCTTCATTTGTAATGATCAAGAACTGGAAACAACTTAAATGCCCAACAGTAGATGAATTAATGCACAAATTGATATACCTATACCTATACAATGGAATACTAATCAGCAATGAAAATGAGTGGAAACATTGATACATACAAAACACATGAATCTCAAAATCATTACTCTAAGTGAAAGAAGCCAGGCAGAAAACAGTACATATTTTACAATTCTATTTATATAAAATTTGGAAAGTGTAAACTAATCTACAGTGACAGAAAGCAAATTAGGGATTGCCTGAGGATGAGGGTGGAAAAGATTACACAGGGGCATAGGGCAACTTTTGGGAGTAACAAATTCTCATTATCTGAATAGTGGTATTGGTTTTACAGGTGTACAGTAGTGCCCCTTATCCAAAGTTTTACTTTCCATGGTTTCAATTACCCTTGCTAAACTGTAGTCCAAAAATATTAAATGGAAAGTTTCAGAAACAAACAATTCATAAGTTTTAAATTGTGCATAATTCTAAGCAGCATGATGAAATCTTGCTCCATCCCATTCCATCATGACTGGGACATGATCATTCCTTTCTCTAGTTTATCTCACTCCCTAGTCACTTAGTAGCCATCTCAGTTATCAGATCAACTGTTGTAGTATCACAGTGTTTGTGTTCAAGTGACCCTTACTTTACTTAATAACGGCTCTAGAGTGCAAGAGCAATGATGCTGATCATTTGGGTCTGCCAAAGAAAAGCCATGAAGTGTTTCCTTTAGGTGAAAAGGTTAAAGTTCTCGATTTAAGGGAAGAAAAAAACATATATATGCTAAGGTTGCTAAGATCTACAGTAACAATAAAACTTCTAGTCATGAAATTGTGAACAGGGAAAAAGAAATTAATGCTAGTTTTGCTGTTGCACCTCACACTGCAAGTTATGGCCACAGTGTGTGGTAACTGCTTAGTTAAGGTGGAAAAGGCACTAAGTTGGTACAAAAAGATATTTTAAGAGTGAGAGACCACTGAATCACAAAGCAATGTCACACTCCATTGATATAATTGTTCTTTTTTATTATTAGTTATTGTTCATCTCCTACTGTGCCTAATTTATTAATTAAACTTTATCACAGATATGTATGTATAGGAAAAAATAGTATATGTAAGGTTTTGATACTCTCTGAAGTTTCAGGCATCCACTGGGGGTCTTGGAATGTATCCCCCACAGATAAGGGGGGGGGACTACTGATCCACATATGATCTAATTTTATACTCTAAATATGTATGGTTTATTATACTTCAATAATACCTCAATAAAGTTGTTTTAAAAAAAGCTTCAGGAAAGTTTAGACAAAAGTATCCAAAACAGATTATCAATTATGTGAGTAACATTATTTTTGTAGATTTGACATCATGGAAGAAAGGAAAAAATGCTTTCACATAAGATGTTCCTTATTGCTAGGCAGACAAACACTGACTAGTAAATAACATTAATATAAAACCTCTGGCTAAGCAGTGTCAAGTTATTCGATCACCTACACGAAGAACGTATTTTGAAAATAATTTTCAGCTAAAAACAAACAAATCACTAAGTAACAAGTGATTTTAGTTTTTAGTGATATCAGCATCACAAAATACTCAGTTTACAAGGCAAGATGTTTTATAACAGCCAATATAATAAATTTAAGTTCAGATTTAAAAATCCAGCTGCATGCTTCTTAGGAATGTAGGCAGACTAGAAATCAATATAAGGTTATTACTAATAATAATAACAATAAAATTAACATTTATTGAGTGGCAACTCTGTGCCAGGCACTAGTATATGCACTGAGACTATATTAAAACTTACTCCTCTTTACCAATCCTATGATGTTAGAGAAGCTGAGGCACAAAGAATTTAAGTAACTTGCCCAATGTAACATTGCTGAAAAATCACAGATCTAAAGCAAGCAATTTAATTCCAAAGTCTACTACGTTTAGCCAACCACTGTAGAAAATAAGAAATTGACAAGCACAGGGTATTTGAAGAAAATCAGAACTGCTGTGCAGTTACTTTTTTCCAAGAATAAAACACATCTTATCTGCTCAATTGTTTTCTTAAACTGCTGAATTCTGCAATAACATTATCAGAGCTCAAAAAAACGAATATACATACCAGAGAAGCTAATAAGGTAATCAGGAGGTTCCAGTCAAGAAGGAAAGATTTTCTCCCCAGGGAACTGCTTAACTCTCTTGCATGGAGTAGTTTCTGAGACTCAAAAGTCTTAGATTGTATTTTTCTTAACCCTATTTTCTATTGTGCAATTCACTTAAGAACCTATGCTCAAAACTGGCTTAGAGTGGAATAAAATGACAAGCAGAAAGTATAAAATACCTTCCATTAAGCAAAAGGGTAACTTTCCTCCCTTCAAGCAAATGCAGAAGGTAGCAGAAGGGACTTCTGAAAATCCCCATCCTACACAACTCAAAGCCAGAGAATGAAGTTCTCCTACCTTCTCAGTGGAAAGGTTGGTCTCAGAATCATGTTTTTTCTGGGTGAAAACAATGGTAAACACAGCGTGGGAACGGCTACTTGTTTCATTCATGTTGGTAGCTGCCACTGTCCTAAATAAACATAAAAATGACCACGTGACAATGCAATTCTTAGATGAGCATTAAAATGATAGCAGCCTCCACATTATAAGCATAACAATCACAATCAACAGCCTTAAACTTATTCAGGTTCCAAGACTGTCACTTACACAAAACTGCTCTCAACACACCTTACTTGTGAACCTATCAAGCTACCCTTCACCTCCAAAGGCACCCCATCAGAACCATTTTTCATACTCCAACTGTACCTTCAGAAACCACTGAGGCATTTAAATTTTATTCTTTACTAGGTGCTCATTTATTTTGGAATTAGGGCACGTGATAACCAACATCCTACCATGACTTGATCAAAACCTAACAGTAAATCTTAACCAAAGTTCAAACATGCTTCAGCAGAGCACTGTTTGGATGAGAGGAAGGTCACCAAATATGCGGAAGCCCTGGCTTCTCCAGCACAGCCAAAGGGTCAGAGGACTCCACAGTCAAAGCAACTTTCATAACCATAAATGTGGTCTTAAATCCTTAACCAGGAAAAAAGGGCCTCAAAACTTGCCGAAGACCTCAGTCATTAGTCTGCTTCCTACCATACCTGGCCTTGTTCCCAGCATCCATGAGGTCAGCAATGTCTGTGTAGGAAGTGACTGCCAACTTTGACAGATCCTCCACATACGGGCCAAGAAGTGGATGTTCACGCACACGCAAATGACCCTTGTTTTTTGGATTCAGTAAGTCTCGTACTCTTTCACAGTAAATTTCCATGTAGCTCACCTAGGAAAATATTATTAAAGTGATTTAGAGGACTTGGAAAAAGAAATCCTGTATGTTAAAGAGATTTTTAATTTTTAATCTTTTATACTTTTATTAAAAGATCTACAATAATAGATCAGCAACCTTTACAACGTGAAATGCTACAGTTCTAGTCCCTTTTATTCTATTACCAGTAGCACAGATCACTGAGTAGGTGAGAACCAGCCTTCCAACTTTCTCAGGAATGAAAAGAGGGTAAATGGGCTCTCTCAGCACACAGTAACCACCATTTTTCTTAAGCAGAAAAAAATATCATTTTTAGTAGCAACTTACTAGTTATCAATAGGTGTTTTTAAAAATGTATGCTGTTGTCAATAATTGGGGATTACAATGAGATTATTCCAAAAGCTTGGAAACAAGATTTTTATTAGTGTTAAAACCAAGGAACAACATCAATATTCCAGAGCAGGAAAACAAAAGAGACCAGAGACTCTCATACTTTAAGACTGGTTACCTTGTGACCAAAAATATATCTACTAGGAGGGGAAGGGCTGGTCAGCATGAAACCTGACTGTTTGGCAGGACCTATCCAAGTCTCATGGGGAAGGAGCAAGCCTCAGATAGTACACTTCAGGAATTCTTGTCCCACCAGCAGGACCATTCCTGTTCTGGAAACGGATGTATTAGGCTACCATTTCTTCACTTGAAGCAACTGAACATTTAATCTGTCTGATCAACTCCTCTCCAATTCCATGTTCATCAAAAAGCCAAGGTTCCAACAGAGGTCTGCCCATAGGAAGATAATATATCAGTCTTGCTAACGTGAGTGTTCTGGTCAGGGTAATAGTTACCTCTCATGGGAAAGTAACAAACCCACATGGTGGTTTCATAACATCAGTCAACTGAGCTTCAGTCAAGAGTCTGGCTTTGAAGGATCTACAAGCAAGGCTCCGAAGTGGGGTAAATTCACCACAGTAAGTCTCATTACGATGCTTCCCCAGGAATAAACCACTTCTGTGTCACTGAGCTGTTCAAGCATATAACTTCTGCATTTTTCAACTTTAAATTTCTAGAGAAACATTTTTGGAGTATCTGAAATAGAACCTTATCTCCATTCCCACTGCCTTTTTCTTTCACTCAGTCACTGATCTGACTATATTTATACTGTATTTTAAAGTCAGTTTTTAAAATATCGAGAACCCTCAAAAGATAAAGTAATCAATCTATTATGAGAATAAAAAACAGGACAACAAATATTCTTTCTTAAAGCAGGTCATCTTAGCTGAGAAACTGAAATGGTACCTTTAATCATTCTCATGTACTTAAAACTTGTACATAAAATCCTGAATCCCAGGAAGGTATTATATCTTCTTGGAAAACCTGCTGTTCCTTTTCACACAGGTATAACACTAAGAGGACCCAAATAACCTGAGTAAAGGTTGAGGTGCTCCATTACTTATTGTCTAAATGAATGAAAATTCATCTAAAGCCATGACTATTTCTTTTATTTCTGAACCAACCATCACATACCCTACTTGGCAAATTCAATTCACTGAGCACCATTACTTTCTAGGCACTTCCTAGGCACTGGCATACATCAGTGCATAAATATCCCCGCCCTAGTGAGCTTGTAAGTCTAATAAGGGATACTGAAAATAAACAGCAAACATAAAAAATAAGTAAAATATTACAAAGTAGGTTAGAAATGATGAGTATTATGGGGGGAAAAACAGGGCAAGAGAGATTAGGAGTGCTGGGGTAGAGGGCAAGATGCAGAATTAAATAAGATGATCATGGTAAGCTTCACTGAGAGGATATGATTTGAACAAGAGATCTGGAGGTGAAAAACTTAGTCAAAAAGATATCCAAGGAAAGAAAATCTCGGGCCAAAGGAAAAGTAAATGTAAAGGCCCTGAGGTTCCAGACATTACTGGTGCGGTCCAGAAACAGGAAAAAAAAAAAAGGCCAGCATGCCTGGATCAGAGGCAGAAGAGGAGGTAGAGGTCCCCCAAATGTAAGGAACTAAGTATCATCTAGGGATCTATCTTACACTCCAAATAAGCCTAGGAAATCTGACTCATATGAAGGAAAATGACATCTTCTCTTAATATTTGTAAACTCAAAACCTTCAATCACATTGTCACTCTCCCTACCCTTTGAATTTATTTAAAATATGTAATATTTTAATAAGAATGATTAATAAAGACCTACTGACTTTTCATTTGCTATACATTTAATATTCAAAAAAGAACAGTTATAGGACAAGACAAGCTATTTAGAGAATTCATTTTAACAAAAATATTTTTAGAGCAGCACACCCCACTTTGGGTGTAGGTCAGTCACAAGGCAGAATTCTTTAAAATTCATACAACACTTGTAAAGTAAACGGCAAAGCAGTTAAGTGGGTCAACAAGGAACTGTATTGAGTCCTATAGAAAACCACAACATATACATTCTTAAAAATCTCAAATTTGCTTAAAAAATAGCCTACTTTCTCAAAACAATAGGCTTATCTTAGTGGAATGCTTTAATAATTCCAGTTACTAAGAAACTGAATACCAAAAATGGGAATGTGTAAAACAACAGTTTCATAAAGCACTTGTATAAAAGAAAGGAAATGTTTATCAAATAAACTAACATACATAATGTAATTCTACAGACCTCTTCTCTAAAGAGCTAGGGTACATACATTGAATAGAGAATAACTTTCTAAGATTATAAACAATTATAAAGGGGAGAAGGGGAGAAGAGATTTGATTACATGTATTTCTAAAACCTACGCCTGTCAAAAATTGTTATTAATATTAAAGGGGGAAGAGTTCACACAAATAAATGAGGAAAACACTGCAATCCAAAATGTAAACAGGCATACGCATAATTTACAAGATGTTCAACCATACTAATAATCAAAGAAATTCTAATTTAAATAAGAGTGAGAAATTTTCCCTTATTAAATTGGCAAAGATTGAAAAAAAAATACTAAATGACAGCAAAGGCACAATGGGTGCTTATACCTTCCTAATGGGACTGCAAATTGGTACAAGCTTTCTTTCTAAGGCTATTTGGCAATTTAAATGTATTATTTGACAACCAGGACACACAAAAAGGAAAATAACTGAAAATAAAGCCATAGACTTATGAATAAGGATTTAACTGCAACTGAATTCATTATAACCAAAACTTAGAAATAGCTTCAAAGTACAGAATTGGCAGAATGGTTAAGTGATCCACAGCTCAGTCATAATTTGGAACCATTTAAAAGTAGCATTTGAGGGAATGGAGTAAAAAGGACTCTTTTTAACCCACAATTATACGCACCTCTACAGAATAAGACATTTCTTCATTACAGTTGTCGTTGATTTTCTCAAACAGTTCTTCACATAACTGTAGAAGGAGAATGGGAGAGGCATGAGTAGAACAAATCAGAGAACTAAGCTACCCATGAGTGCTAAAACAATTAGTGAGATCCCCTTTCTTTTTCTTTCTCAAAATATTAATGGCAACAGCATCAAACATAAAGGCTTAGAATAAAATAAAAGGAAACCTTTGAATATATTCTTCTCATCTAATCTCTATTCTCTCTCAACAATATCGTCTCATGTCTCCTTAGAAAGAAATCCACATTCAGGGGAAGATGAGGAATTTTGTCTTTTCTAGGTAATGTCACTGATTTCAATTCATGTGCATTAACTCTTTGTACTATTCTAGAATTAATGGGACTCTACTATCAGTATTATAACTGTAGGAGTACAACTACTATTAAACTGTATTTTGCACACTTATTACTCATCATGATATATAAACTTAATTATGCACTGCCAATTACTATATACATTATATATTTAAACTTATACATATTTGTACATATAAATCTATACATACATATCTACATGTCGAGACAGAAATATACATTATTTGAAGGCAGTAAATAGAGGTATTTTCAAGAGTAATTTTGACTTTACAAAATTTTCCTCTTACCTCTTAAGATTCCAACCCCTTTTATGAGAGGCTACTCCATTACACAGTGACATTTCTAACAGAAAACATTAATTTTTCTAGATCAGGAAAATTAGAAAATTTCATTCTCCCTCATCCGTTCAATTTATTTTAAATTGTGATATTTTAGTAAGAATAATTAATAAAAATCCATTGAATTTTCATTTGCTATATATTTAGCATTAAGGCAATTAATATACATTTGAAAAAATGAACTGTATGTTGATAATTCTCTAGAAGTCTAAACAGAATTTAAAATGTACTATAAATGGCAGCTTCTAATGACAGACTTTTTAAAAAAATCCATGCTTTTGCATTAAAATAAAATATTCCAAAATTCTACCAGAAAAGACATACATACGTAATTATACAAAAATTCCAGTAACAAATGACAGTTAAAAGAAAGGGAACGAGAAACTAACTGCGGTAATAGGATAGGTAATAAAATAAATATAACTACTTAATATTACTTGCTATAACCTACAAATATTTTAATGCTGAAGAAGTTACTACACAGTAGTAAAAGCAAAGACTCCAAAACTACCTTGCCAGCTTCTGGATTCTGGCGCTGGCACTTACTTGGGCAAGTGACATGACCTCTCTGTGCCTCAGTTCCCTCATCTGTAAAATGAGGGTAACAAGAGCACCTCCCTCTCAGGGGCGTATGATGATCAGATGAGCTAGTATTTGTAAAGCACTGAGACCTGTGCTTGGCATAGTGAGTGCGACATAATGCTTTCTCTAAGTAGTACTATAATTATTGCCATCACTATACACAAAGAAGGACAATTCTCAAATATACATCTTAATACAGCCATACACATTTTACAGAAAAAAAAAGCTAGTATGTTCAATTTTTTCTGAAAATTTCCTAATCCTTATTAATAGTTAAGCATTTCAATTATACAGTTGAATTTAAAATTATAATTCAATAATCCATTAGAAAAAGTGGCTATTGCTCCTTTATGTATTCTATTTTCAGAATACAGATGGCCACACTAGACCTATAGTAAAAGAACACTTTAAAACTAATCCCAATTACTGTTAATGAAAGCAAACAATATCCCTGTTATTAGCAAGAGAAGCTCCTACTAAATGTACCTACGTCACAACTCGTCTCCATTCCCAAGGATTACAAAATCAAAAGACTACCTGCTCTTAAAAAAAATGATACTGTTCAAGCTTAAAGTGATAGTATTAATTTAATAAAATAAAAGGAAAGGCAATCAAAAAACAAAAATAATCACTTTCTTAAGAGATGATCTATATATAAACTTGGGGAAAAAATCAGATCAACAATATTCACGAGATGTCCCCAGGATTCAGAACATAGCCTGGTACATAATATTACTTTTTTAAAGAAGCTGGTAACATTGTTCAAAGATAAAATAACATGGCATTGGATATACAGCAAAACCTTTACAAAAGGTCAACTTTCCCACCTTTAAAGATAGACATGTATACACAACAGTCTTTTCCATCAGACCGCTAGCTCCTCTGAGGAAAAGGGACAGGTGATTTATCTTTGTGTCTCGCATATGACAGCGCCTGAATAAATGTTTGCTAAATAAAAATAATTGTTAAGCTGAAGACTAAGAGTAATAATGAACAGAGGTTTCTTGTTTTGATTTTTGTTTTTACCTGTGGAATGATGCCAGCCTGGCTTTCTTCTTGTTTACCCATCATTGTGTAAGACTTCCCAGCACCAGTCTGCCCATAGGCAAAAATACAGACATTATATCCCTCAAAGGCATGTAAGAGCATTTCCTTTCCAATATCATTGTACACACGGTTTTGAGATGCAAAACAGGGATCTTCGGGCTGTAAAGATTAAAAGGAGAAGTAAATGAAAAAAAAAAAGGAGAAGTAAATGGCATTTTATTTTCTCTTACGCTTATTTGATTACTTCTATAATAAATAAAAATGTTTGGAATCAGAATAGTCATTTAAAATATATTTTTAAGTTCCCCCTACACACAGTTCATTCTTATTAAACACACACATAGAGGCACTATTAAAGACATCCAGGCCAACTATACATAAAAATATCTACATGAAATTATCTGACATGATTACATTTCATAACCTTGAAAGTAGCACTGTTCTATTCATAGGAAGTTCCAAGAAATTTTTCCTAAGTGGAAAATGGGACTGAAAGATTAAAAGATCAAATCCACATATAAAAATACTACTTTGAACTCACTCCAGGTGGTGTGGCTATTTCTCAATAAACACACTTTTCAGTGAAGAATGTTTTCCAACCTCTTCACAGGCCCTTCCATTGGCCACTAGGCTTTGCAATAGTTTAAAACATCTACTCTAAAACAAAACAGGAAAAAAGAGAACAAAAAACTGGTAAAAAAGAGATGCAGAAGCAAACTCTAGTTTAGGAACAATCCCTAGAAGCCAGCAAGGCCTGGGCTCCCATAGTCAGTAAGGGTACATGGGAATGCCCTACTCTCCAGTTCCCTAGTTGTTGGTAATCTTTGTTTTCCTTGTGGACCTGCAGGCTCTTTCAAAATGTTCAAAACCCACGTTGCTCTGTGATGCTGTACCATGAGTACACTCACCGAGGTGTGAGACCAGTAAGAGTAGTCAAAGCTGAAGGACTTTGGAGCTTCCTTTGGGTTCTTTGGGTTAATAATACCTAGAAGATGAAAATGTTTTGATTTTTGTAAGTCACCCAGTTAATATGTTCTTTAGTTCAATATGATGTTATAAGCTCAAAATATTCAAATCAGTAAATTTACACCACTGAATCTGAATGGGGCAATCAAAAATAAATAAATAATCACATTTTAATAGGTAGGCTCTATATACAGAACTTGACAAGAATTATACCAACAACATTCACTAGATGTCACCAGGATTTACAACAGAGCCTAGTACATAGTAGGTGCTATTTTGTGACTGAATCCTAGGTAAGTGAGCAGACAAAATTTGGAAATGGGCCACATTACTATTTCAAGGTGCTTCATAAGGCTTGAAATATTTCAACACATCAAAGATAAAAATTTGAAACTTATTGAATGAATTCACTTAATTTGAACAAAGTCTTTTTTAAAGATCTTAGTATCTACTTCAGAAAAGCATTTACTAATGAAGCATTCATGGGAGGGATAGTTTTATTTTTGAAATCCAAAGCTGATAACGAGCATGTAAGTTACTATATATATGTCTGTATGTGTGTACATATGTGTATACATCAGAATCACAGACCTCTAAACAATAAAACTACTTTTGAATGGAAAGTATGAAGCCTCACTGCCCAAATAAAAAAGTGATTTCCCCTGTGATTAATCCAGTTACATAGTTCAGGGACTGACTGCTGAGGCGTGGCCTCCCTTCCCTTCTCACACACACATAGAGCTTCAGTGCTTCATATTTCACATGGAACAGAATCTTTGTAACATATGGTCATGAAATCTCCTCAAAGACCAGGCATCTTAACCAATCCACTTCTCTAAGGCAGGGCCACATCCCAGGCTATCAGTGAGATCAGGATTAAAAAAATAAATCTGTCCCAGGCAGCTGCTGCTCAGGACACAAATAGCAACAGTTGCTACGGTGCTTAGTTCCCTCTTGCTGGATTCCACTGGGTATGGTCACACTTCTGTTCCAAACTCAAATGCTGACAGGGTATTAATAGGGCTCACACTGCACAGAATCACGTGACAAGCAGACATGGTTCTAGAAAGCACATCTCCCTACATACACGAATGGTAAGCAAAGAAGTAGCAAAGAAGTACGCTTCTAAACAAAAGGCACTACCTACAAGATTTAAATAGCCAACATTCACAGAGCACTTACTCTGAGCTGTAAGTACTTTCTGTTTACTAATGCTCCCAAACACTCAATAAGGCAGATGTTGTGTTATCCCCATTTTATAAAGAAACCATCACAAAGAAATTAAGTAACTTACCCAAGGCTACAGAGCTAGCTAGTGGCAATTTAGGATGTAAATGTGGAGAGTCTAGCTCGAGCCCACACTCTCAGCCAAGACACCCATCATTTAAACATTCCCTACATGCAGCGATCACCAAGGCAAACACAGTAAGGCATTTCTATGCAAATGCACGTGTTTATGACCACCCCCCAACTTGTATAGCAGGCATTGTTTATTCAGAACTCTCCCTACATCTGAAACTGGGTATATGAGAATTATAGTTCCTAAAAGATGAAAGACCACACACAAATTCTATCAAGAAGATGGAATACTCTGTGAACCAGATTCCAGGTTTCAGTGGCTCAGCAATAAGGACAATGACTAAATGGAGGATATAACCTCAGAGGTAGTCTTTACCACTCAACAACACAGTTAAAATAAAAGCTTTCTAACCTCTAGGAAATTTGCTGTCAAAAATCTGTTAAGCCATACACATTTCATTCATGGTACCAAGTCTGCCAAGAACAACTTAAGAAAGGGCTAGTTTCAGATTCTACCCCTTTGTTCTCTTTCCCCTAGTAAAGAAAAAGAAAAACTACACAAGTGAGTAATTTCCTTGATTTACTTGAAATCCTTTTCCTCTTCCTCAATATACTCTTCTCCCAGGTTGTCAATTGAAACTTCTGAATCCAATAAATTTTCCTAACTTCAAAACCAAGCTGCCTTTCATTTTTATCTATTTTTTCTTTCTAGCTATTATTTATTCTGACCACATGGATGCACGAATTCATTTAACAAACTTTTTTTTTGGCACATTTGCAGTGTGTTATTAAGTGTTATTAAGTGTTAGATATACAAAGAAAGATAAGAAAGATACAACCTTCTTGCTTTTTTCCCCAAAATTTCTGAGTGCTTTTTATTTTTTGTTGAAGTAATATTGGTTTTAACATTAGATAAATTTCATGTGTACATATTTCTACTTCTCTATACACTACACCAAACTGCCTTTTAAATATCTGCCTCCAGACAACAAAAGCCTTATTTTAACATAAATATTTTAACACAAATAAGTAAATCAAAATATAATTTTAAAGAGCTATTTATGTAACAGTTATGTCAAACACGATGAAATTTACCCACAATATTTAAAAGATTTTAATTCATAAATAAAAGATATTTATATAACACATCTTGGAAAAGTGTAAAATTCAGTATTGTTATCTGTTTTGGGGGAAGTATAAGCAGAAAGACTCAGAAGGCAAGGATAAATTTCTATGTTAGAATGGGCAGTAGTTATAGAGTTGTTTGTTTTATATTATTCTTTATATTTATACATACATATCTTAAATATATGAAACATTTCCTAGTAAAAAATTTAAAACACCAAAAACTGCAAAAGAAAAAAAAAACCTGTTGTAATGATAAAATGTTACGGACAGCACCTGAGCTCATCAGAAGCCATGAACTCCACTATTACTTCCACGGACAATGAATCAATGTTTTCAAATGTGCCAAAGGATTGTTCTTTCTGAATAACAGCTGAGATCTAACTCACTTTCTTTAACCCAACTAAGAAACAGGATGTTTCCAATCATTAATAAAAGAAGGGAGAGGACAGAGTGTACATGTAATAGAAAGGGTATAGGATTTAGAATCAAAGAACCAGGATCAGTAAGAACAATTAAGAAATATATTTCAATTTTTTGTGGCCTTGGGTATCGCATTTTATGTCCTCTCTAAAACTGAGATAATACCTAGTTCACAGGATTAAATGAGTGAAGCACTACACAAATGTTAATTTTCAAAAAGATATTTTATCTTGTTTTAAATTCTCTCAATGTGTCATGGGTATGATAACCATATTCCATGTTTTTTAAATCAAAGCAAGAAAAGTTCACTAATTAATAAGATACGCTAAAGCGTAATACAAGAATTCTACTTCTTGGCAAGAGTCGAAGTACTATATTGGGGTCCTTTAGATGTGCCATCAAATCTCTGGTGCTCCTACACAATGAAAACTCCTTCAGCACATGGACCATGTCTTACGGATTCTCTACACTGCCCGACACCAAACAGGCACTCAGATGAATGTCCTCCATGTCGTGTATAATTCTGATTTCATTAAATCCTGTACCATTTTCAGGAACATAAAAAGAAAAATCAAAATAGTTCATACCTATGCAATATACACATAAAATACCAGTAAATGTCATCAACTTTCACAGTAATAATACAGAGAGAATTGAACCACTGAAAAGATCGGGCAATATTTAACACAGTGATTCTCGTATCAAAGTCAACGGAGCTAAAATATGGTGTGTAGGACTTCTAATTTCCTTCTCAGAAAGCATGTATATATGAATGGAGTTACAGTAATCAATGAATATGGTCAACATATAAGCCAAATTTACATATTTTCACCAATGTAAAACCTGTAACAAATGTAGTATGTCTCCCAGGGTCATGCACCATCAGCGCACAGGCCTTGTCTAAAACATATCAATACTCAATACTTTTTCTTCAAGGAATGAACTCAAGGCACATTTTTGAGGACTAGAGTCAGATCACTTAACTCTATTTTAAGTGCTGTATATTTCATATTGCTTCCTGTTCTATAAAACCACCTTTTCACGCCATTTTTCAAGACCCCCTCTTCAATCAAGAAGGGCGTCTTCTATCAAGATTTCTCTGGACACACAGTATACTCCAGATCTGCACCCACCTCCACGAGCAATTTTCCACAAACGATCATGGAGTCACTTTCAACTTTCTTCACTTACTCTCCACATCTGATCTATGTTCAAAACATACCCAGAATCCCACAACTTCTCACCACCGCCATCATTACCACACTGGGCCAAGCCACCATCTCTCTCACCTGAATGACTGCAGCACCTCCTAACTGGGCTCCCCACCTCTCCCCCTGGGCCCCTGAAAAGTCCCATCTCCACACTGCAGGTAATATTCCTTCTCAGACGTAATCCAGATCACCTCCACATCATGCCTCTAGTGAACCTTTCAATGGCTTCCGATTCCACGCTGAACAAAAACTCCACTCCCTCTGTGACCTCCTCTCCAAAGATTCACCCCTCACTGCAGTCCCACTGGCCTTCTTACTAAAGACACATTCTCATTTCAGGGCCTTTGTACATACTGCTCTACCAGAAATGCTTTCTCCTAGGTATCTGACTAGCCCACTCCCTCATTTCATACAGGTCTCTATTCAAACAACACCTTGTCAAATGACCCTTTCTGACCATCCTATTTAAATCAGCATCCACTTCACTCTCGATCCTCTTATCCTGCCTTATTTTTCTTCACTGCACTCATGCCTACCTGACTTATTATATGAGTCACTGGAAGGTAGGTTCCATGAGATCAGGACTTCTGTTTCATTCACTGCTACATCCTCTAGCTCCCAGGACAGTGCATGACACATAGCAGAAACTCAATATATACACAAAGAACCAATGAATATGTTAGTTTTCTCTTTCCCTAGAGATTGTCATTTCTCTGTGGCTGGAAACCATGACTCTTCTCTCTGTATAACTCACAATGCTGACCTCAGAAGTAGGTGATGCTCATTTGGGAACTGAAATGTAGCTCTCTCAACACCACTTGCTTCCTGAATCTTTTCTCCCTGAGCAGCCAACTTATTCAGCTTCTGGCTAAAAATATCAATCTCTGGGAAAGGAGGTATCTAAATTCCAATCTAGAGAACAGAAATACAACTTTAAGGAAACAGTAGTAATAGGTAAGCA